GTTGACCTTGGCAGTCTCAGGCAGATCTGTGATTTGATAGATCAAAAACTTAGAGAAATCAAAAGTTACTTCCAAAAAAAACTTTATGGGAGTGTATTAGAGATACTTGGAATAAACTCCAAAAGGAAACTTTGATTAAATATGTTGCAACAATACCTGAAAGACTGTCTGCAGTTATTAAAGCAAAACATTTTGCTAAATTCAGGCACTTCCACTGAGTTTCTTTTGTATTAAATATGAAGATTATTAAAGTTTTGATGTCTCACTTGTGATTTACCTCCCACTGTTCTTTGAAAGTAGCCTGAAATCTTATTTTTGACTTCGTCCTAACACTTTTGTACAATACTGTAGATTAGTTTTGTTTATAAAAAATTAAAATTTTGAATGGTATAATTTTACAGCTGTAACAGATCTCTGTTTGATCGTTCGATCTACTCAGTATCGATCATTGGAGGGTCTAGAGAAGGAAATGCAGCTTTATTAAAAGTAAGTTAACTGCTTCTAGAATAATATATTAATTTCTTTTGAAGCATTTACATATATTTTCCTGAATGTTACTTGTACAGTTAGTTTAAAATGTTTCATTGTTTTTAATGAAGAACCACAAAATCCTTTTTTTTCTTTCTAATTTGGTGTTTTAAGAATAAGTTTACATGCAATATCTTTTTTTGTGAGATATGAGTATGTTACCAGTGATTACAATACCAATGGTGGGAATAAAAAAAAAAAGTTGTAAAAGATGTTCATATAATTTGTAATCTCTAAAATGAAGGATAAAATTGTTTGAAAAATAGGATTTACTACATGACTAATTTTCTTTTGCCAGTTATAAAGGTAGATTACATCTTAGTGTTAAACAGGTTTGATTGGTTGAAGTGATAAGTGGAAATTTAACAGTTTAAATTCTTTTTATGTGTTGTATGCTCTTTATGCAAACTAATAGTAACTTTCTAGAACTTAAAAAAGTATAACTTTCTACATTATTTTCTATGAGTTATTATATTGCTTTTATCTCCACATAGGATTCTGCCTATGAACTTCCACCACAGGCAGATGATATTAAAGTTATTGATGCCCTTTCTGCTGGTGTTTCTTTGGGTACCTTAAATGTTCTCTGTAGTGGAAAAAATTCATTACATAGTGATATGGAACACTTCAAGGTGGGTATTATTTTAGTTATTAATTTTTTTTTAAGTTTTCATTCTTAATAGCTAAAAAAATTACTGTATGACTGATTATCTAAATTATTTGGTTTGCATTACAGCATTAAAAAGCAAAATATTATTGGTTAAAATCCAAAACTTTTTGATATTATATATACTTATGTACATTTAAATGACTTTCCAGAACCAAAAATAACGAGCTACATCATCTCATAAAAGTATTATCTAATTTTGTACAAAAAAAACAACAAAAAATATAGTTTTGTACTCAACAGAATATTCAACTATTCTAAATGAGTCCCACCGACTGTACTTGATTTAAAGAAAGTAAGAACATTTTGGGTGTAATAAAAAATATGTATCTAGTACTAAAGCAGATAAATATGATTGTAACTAAAATGATTAAACAGATTAGAAAAAAAGAAAGCTTCTCTTATAAAGAATAGCTTTTTGTAAAATATCTTTTCTTTCATAAAGTTTCCGAAGATGGATTTTGAATTAAAAATACAGTTAAAGTGGATAGAAATCTTTTTTTTTATTATTAAAAAGAGAGTTCAAAGTGTTGACTAGACACGTGTCTATCTTCATGTGGGATCCTCTCTAATATTATATTGAGTTTTAAAATCTTCATATATATAAATTCTTATTGTTTTCCCACAGATCTTGATTAAACCTGTAGCTTTGTTTGATATTGATTTCTGTATCTTTTGTTTTTTCAGGCAGAGAAAGTATACCCAAATATTGTTGTAGCCTTGAGACATGGGCATTGTAAAATGGCTGGTCAGTTAATACAGGAATGTATAGAGCAAGCTGGTCATGGTTTCAGTAGCCTCCATAGGGATGTAAGTAACAATTAAGGTGTTGTTCTGATTAACCCTCTCGCTATGAGCAGGTCAAAGTGCAGTTGTCATGACTTTTTAACAGTTGCATTCAAAATTTAATTAAACTACTTTATTATCACGGTATAGGAGTAAACTTGGCATCGAAATGTAGTTAATAAAACAAATTTTAATATATAAGTTTTATGTTCTTAATTTTATAAGAAAATATTTTTAAAAATCCTCAATCTCCCTTAGTATGAGAATAGTGATATTTGCTGGCTAGATTTTTTCCTCTTCTCTAATTTATTTACCACCCCAATGAAAAGTATGGAATTTATTGTAAATTATTTACTGTAATATAGTTATTACTCAGGCAAAGCATCATTTTTCATAGCTTTCAAACATATTTGGTTATGGAGCAATGAACTAGAAAATCAGACACTTGCCATGTCCACCTGTCACATTCTCTCATTCACAAATTGAAAATATTTTTCAGTGATGTTTTATACTATATTATTTATAACCAATGGAAATTCAAAGTTTTAACCTATAAAATCATGTATTATATTACGTTGTTTTCTATACGATCTCAACTGAATTTTTACCAGCTTTTATTGCATGGTTAGAAAGCCAGAAAAATTAATATAGTCTGCTTTTCACATGTTATGATTCTGTATTCTTAGTTGCATTATTTAATTAAATAAATTGTTTAGTATAGTAGTACCATTAGTATAAAAAAAGTAGGGTTAAGTTTCATTGACTATCGACAGCGAAAAAAAAGAAAAAAGAAAAAAGACCCAGTTAACTCTCATTATGGGGTTGGCCAATTTGACCAAGTCACATGACATTTTGTATTCATTTAAAGTCTTTATAGATGTAATACTTATAACTCTCAATATATTGGGTATATCGTCACGAAAATTGGCAGTCTTTCAGTTAATATTACAAGTCTTTCACATACAAAAAGTCACATTTCATAGTGAAGTATTTTCAATAAATGTATTTCAAACGTTTTTTTTTTTGGTTGTGTGTGTGTGTGTGTGTGTGCAGTAAAACGTTATAGTTTATCTGTTATTTTTTCTACCCTATCTCAAAACTGGATAGGTCAAATCGACTGACCTTGTAACCACCAAAAAAAATAATTGAAATAAACCTATATTAACCTTTTTTTTCTTTCTGGAATGACTTCAAATTGTAAAATGAAACTACATTCGTTTATCCTGAGTAGCTGTAAGGTCATAACATTATACATCTATTTATAATAAATTTTATTGTTTTATTGCCCTTTGAACCATGTCTAACCACTAACCATGCCATTATAAGTCGTAAATCACTTGGGAAACGTGCAGCTCACATTACACTATCGAATTACATTGCCCACGAGCTGCTCCCATACTTATTTTACCTAATCTAGTCTTAAATAACTTAAAAAGATCTGTATTTTTAGATTTTAGTTACTTTTACAATAATAAATAAAGAATAAATATGAAAAACAAGAAGTAAAGTACTTACCCAATCTTCTTTTTCTTGCCGTTGATGTTCGAGGACAGTTAAGCCTGATTTTTATAGTATATTATAGTGATGCACTTAATTTTAATTTAATTAAATAATGTGCCAAAGAATATATACTAATAACATTCAAAAATCTATCACACGGGTGACACTAATGGAAATTCAAGATTTTTAAACACATTTCCTCGTAGAATAAAGAACTTAAAACTTGTATACTATTAAAATAGTGATTATTAGCTAAGATTTTATGCTATTCTAATTGGTATAACATAAACAAAAAGTAGTTTAATAAAATTTTGAATGTAAAACACTTAAACCATGTGTCATGCACAGTAAAGGGTACCCGGGGCAATAAGGTTAAGTACTATATTTCTTGTTTTCCTGTGTATTCTTTATTTATTTATATAAAAATAACTAAAATATAAAATTGGC